TCTCTCTCTCTCTCTCTCTCTCTCTCTCTCTCTCTCTCTCTCTTATCAAGTCCTTTTACTCCAATTGGGAGGCAAAGATAACTCCGTTATAATGAGAACACCCACATCCTGGCTGCTTGAATGACTCATGTTTTGTGCCTCTCCAGTCTTATTTGCACGACAGTGTTACTAAGGTTTGTTATTAAGGAAAAAAGGCTGCAGGCGGTCTATTTGTATGAAAAGGCTGAAATTGGACTTAATATTGCGGTTGTTCATAGCTGATTAAGCATGCAGGTTTTTCACACAGAATGGTTGACTGGATTGCCCTAAGTGGGTATTGTTTTGATTAAATTCAGTTGGGGCTTATTTGGTCTTAAAATTGCTCAAAGTACAGAGGAACATGGACATAAGGAACATGCGCTAATAGGTTGAATTTGATCCTCAATGTACATTTAAGATGTTTAACATTAGAGAATTATGCTAAATCTATCTTGTTGTAAATAGGGAATGTTTATCATATATGCATAATATGGTCGCATGTTGGTATTTAATTATTCCTTCGATCTTTGCATTTAAGTTGGCTTTAATTTCTTTTGTCATGTGCAATTAGAAAATTTCCGTAGAAAGTGGAGATTTAAAGCAATTAATTATTATCCACTGCTGAAAGTCGATTACTTTTAAATTACCCCATTCGTTATGTTATAGAATGGGCCTTGAGGATGCTATTCATATGATGGATTTTTTACATTCGGCCTTGTGTGTTTTAGCTCTGACAGCATCATTTTATATCACCTGTTATAACGATTGTAATTGATAACTTTACCAATTTACAAGCCTGTTCTGGTGCCTCTTTTATTTTTTTTACCTTACATAGCTCTTTACTTCGTCGTAAATATGACATTTTATTTTACAGTGATGCACATTATACACAATATAAAATATTTGAGATTACATAGCTAATGAAACTTGTTATCCAAGGATGTCTCCTACTTACAGACTGGATTTCTCATTTTAACAGCTTGTATATCGGCAGCCATGTAATCACTGGAAGTAAAAACATTAGCATCCCTGAAGTTAAATTATTGGGATTTTAAATAGAGCTTATGCAGTTGAATAACAAAACAGCTCCTCCAAAATGCTATAGTATATTACAGCATTGAGCATATTAAATCCCACGGTGAATGCTGACAGCATGAATGCTGCATTTAGGCTGAGATTAGACCTGACACATGTAGGAAGGTGATTCAGTTTGTGAGAAGCAAGGGGTGCAAAGAAAATGTGGGAAACAGTTTATATTTTTAGAGCACTTAAACTTAATATAGTTTGTAGCAATGCTATTCATTGTAGACTCAGATTGCAATCGCATGCACTTTTAGAGTTTCCCTGGGATTTGTGAAAAGTTGAAATACCATACATAATGCATTTTTTCCCAGGAATACAAATTAATGTAGGGTTGAAGCCAATGCTCCAGTACAAATGGCATAAAAATGCATCCAGGCTGTTTTTTCTTCTATGTGATCTTACTCAAGTCATTTTCATGACAGAAAAAAAGCATTTCTGAAAGTTGTTGGTCTGCTAATGTCAAACATTTTCAATAAAATATGTTGCAGAGGGTGGAGGGGAAGTCTGGAGTGGGCGATAAACATCATATAACATTTAACACAACACTCACACAGAAAACCTGTGTAACATTCAGCCAATAGTTACAGATTCCTTGCAGTAACCACAATGTTAAACTCTAACAGTGAACATAACATATTTACCATGCAGCTGCATTTCTAGGAGTCCGTTTTCTTTCTTACATTTGGTCATATTTAATCAAAACAACAGGCTCACTGGATCTATTACTTCTGTGGGCAGGCTGTATATGGCGTCAAGATCATTTTGAGATGTATTGACCTATATTGATTGCAGGATTCGAACCTGCTTGGGTTTTGCTCCGGTTTCCTCCCACAGTCTAGGTTTCAAGAAGGTTAAATTAATAGGCAACTTTAAATTGCCCGTGGGTGCAAATGTGAGCCTGAGTGGTTGTCTGTTGGCACCCGGGACAGGATGTACCCCACCCCTCACCCAATGTCAGCTGGGATCGGCTCCAGCCCCTGCTTCCCAAAGGAAAAGCAGGTATAGCTAATGGATGGATGGATGGATGGATGGATGATTGCCACAAACAGCAGTTAATACAGTTCTGTCCAGTAATTCATCTTACTGCCGATGTACATAATATCTGGCCGGGCATACTCACCCACTGTGAAATCCATTTCTATCAACTTGATTTAGAGGTAAGGAAGCTAAATAACAGAAACAAGATTCCCAGCCTCACTTTGCTTTACGTAGTGCGAGTACCACCAATTTACCTGAACAAGGAACTTCATTTGATATATCACTTTGTGCTGTAATGCACCACAACACACCATAAATCAGCATACCTTTGTGGGCCATCTGCAGTCCAAACTCATTTATTTTACTTCCAACTCACAGATGATGCAGTGCAATTTGTTTTTTCCCCCCCTTTGTTGTAAAGCACAACAAATCCCCAGGAAAATCATCTGTGAGTTTGCGCATCCTATATCAAATGAGCTGGCGCAGTCAAACTAAACATCAAGCAATATCCTCAACCCACCCTCTTCATAAGCATAGCTTTCCTCCCACATATGTTAAATTGACTGGGTTGTGGGCATTCATTCAACTTTTGTTGGAGTTTGTATTTAGAGGGATTCAGACTTGCTTGGCATAGCAATACTTAACTGAGAAGGGATGGATTTAGCAGCTCAGCTGGTGCACAAGTGTGGGAGGTGCGAGATGGGAGGAGGGGAGACAGAGTGGAAATAGTTGGCCAAGAAAAATGGCTGTATTGGACTGCAGTTAATGACCTCTGAGTGTGTCCTTGTCACTGAGATAATGTGACCTGCGAGGATACAGATTTAACTAGTTGTGATTTAACTAGTGCAAAGAAATAGCCGCCAAGCTCAGCAAAGCACCTGACCTTTTGCAAAAAACACCAAATTCAATGAATACAAAGTGAAAACTCAGTCCAATCAGCTACTTACTGAGAATACATCTCATTTCCATGTTTTGAAGTTGATATGCTTGATGTGACACACCTGTAATCTCTGGAGGGAGTTGATGTGATCTGAAACTTGCTTTTTAAAATCTTAAAAAGAGTCTGCAGCCTTGCTAAGGACACAGTGAGGCTATATTTGGGCACAGCAGTGCTTTGAGCTAAATGCTAACGCAAGCATGCTAACATGCGCGCAGTGGAAATGCTAACATGCCGTCGTTAAAGCCTCATATTGGCTTTTAATAATCTTTGGAAAAGATCTTTTTTACAAAACGAGTGCTGTAGAGTCCCCCCTTCACTTACGCTGAGCACATTAAGTAGCAATCTTTTAATGGCCAGTATGAACGGGAGGTTGACGGGAGGTTGACATATTGAATGCTAAGTATTACTTAATTGGTACAATAATCATTACTATTACACACATGGTCTTGTTACGGGAAAAGTCAGGAGATCAGTAAAGTCATCCTCTGGGCAACCTGGTTATCTGAATCAAAGTTCATAGCAATCCATTCAATAGTTGGGATACCTGGAAGTGGTGGACCCATCAGCCGTCCAACAGGCCGGCATTGCCATCTACAGAGCCATGCCAACAAAAAATCATCTGTAATTAGCATTTGTTGACTCTTTTGGCCTTGTTATCTGTAAAAAGAAATGTAATTCTCTTGATTTAACATTATTTTCACACTTCTAAGCACGTCCCTGTCACTTAGTGACAGAGGCAGCGGGTTAAATGTTGACTGGATCAAAAGTTACCCAGTACTCTGTGATACTGCTTTCATGCCGACTGCAGAGACATGACCATGCTGTGACTTCATTACAGATCTGGTCCTGTTTTTCTGATTTCTGGGGTAATTAATATGTGGTATGTGGTACAGCGTTATGTTAACGGATTAGAACACCTGTGGATAACCTTGCAATGAATGCTGTAGTTGTCATTGCAATTGTGCTCAGTTTGATGCCTCTCGAATCAAAGGACTTGCAGCGCAAAAGAGAGAGCTGCAATGAAATGTGGCCTGGAAAGTAGTCTTTGGGTGGCCTTTATCATAATTCTAATTTAGTCCCAGATTCATGCTCACACGCTCCTCTGGAGTTTCCTTTGTTGGGTAAAAAAATTGGCAATAAGGAGATAAGTGACTACCATGCAGAGACAGATTGTGATGTTGGCTTGATTTTGAACACTTTTGATCTGTAGCAACTTTTCGTGTCAGGCTTCCTTTTCGTAACGACAGTTGTCAAAACAAACAATTTTCTAAAGGGAAAAATGCTTCAGAAGTGGTATGTAGTGCCTCAACTTTTTTATATTTGCAATCCAGTGTTTTTATACTGTACTTTACTTCATGCCTATGACTCACACCACAAACGTAGACACTACTCCAGACACCAAGCACTCTAATGAGAGTCTCTCTTCAGGTCGCACCATCATTTTGTCTACACACCACATGGATGAGGCAGACATCTTAGGGGACCGCATTGCCATCATCTCCAACGGCAAGATGCGCTGCTGCGGCTCCCCACTCTTCCTAAAGAAACGTTTCGGCAGCGGCTACTACCTCACTCTGGTCCGAGATGGGACTGAGAAGATGACATCTCAGCGTGATGGTATCGTACGCCATCAAGCCAAAGAGGTACCAACAGAAAGCATAAGTAGTTACTGGTTACTAATGAGCTGAATTTCAAAAAAAAAAGACAGTGACAAAAAAAACCCAATATTCTTCAAAGTTAAAAAAAAACAAAACATTCTTTTTGTCAAGGATATTTCCCCAGTGCACATGGCTGTGTGTGATCTCATTATTTCCAGATAACAACACATTTGGAGATTAGGGCCATTCTGTTTTATCCCCACTGAAATAACGTTGCATAAAACTGCTGTAATTGGAAGTGGATCATCCTTTTTGGCTTCACGTATCAAGAAAAGAACTTCAGCTGCAAGCCCCATTGACACAACAGCAACCTATCTCTCGTCTGCTATTGAACATGGCTCCCTCTCACGATTTCCCTGAGTGCTCTCCTTCTCCTTTGCTGCCCTCCCCCTATAATGATCTGTGTTTAGTCTCTCCCAGCATGAGAATTGGCAAACGCCTACGTGCTGGATGATACTAATTGTCACCGGGGAGAGGGGTGATTCTCGCTTTTTCTCGCCAATTGTGCCTCGCACACTTAGTTTTAATCAATAGGAGCAAATGAACAAGATGCACCGATGCCAGCAGGGCTGGAGCAGTCTCTTTGAGGTGAGGAGAGTCATTTGTTTGAAATAAAGAAATAAACATGCAAACACCTTTTGTGGGCAAGGTAGAACAGAACCCCCCTCTTTTCTAGGTGACGACTTTGTAATTTAGTGGAAGATTTTGCAATTACACAGCCAATATAACTCTGAAACAGAGTTGGACAAAGTTTGATTGTCCTGCCCTCATTTAGTGTGATTAAACTCCATTTAATGAATGTCATAAAGTTCTCGCAGTGAGGTTTATTCAACCTTTGTTGCAATTAAAATGTAATTTTCCTTTGGGTGTATTGTCTTAGACTGAAAAGATTGTTGCATTACCGGTTGACCACAATGTCTCATGCATACAGTTTTCTGTCGGGCAATTAAATAGAAACTCATGAATGGCATCCATTATTCCATTAATGTATGAAGGGAGTTGTCAGGGAGGCACTGTTCATCATTCTAAGTGGTAATGCATGATAAGACTCTTTTAATCCAATTCTGATTAACAGGAGGAAGACTGTCCTTCGAGGAACAGCAGCCTGGATGATGGCTTTGGCAGCCAGAGCTGGGACAAATCTGATCGCTCAGGTAGAAACATTTATCTCTGTTATCAGTCAGTCGTATTTTAGGATTAGCACCTAACCGTACCTGTAATTTAATCAAAATGTTGTACAGTTGGCACAACATACATTTGAACAACAAATTTTGTCATCTATTCGGTCTCCATATCAAAACCTCCAGTAAAATGTGGAAGTTACCATAACACACACCGATTAAGGTACTATAGTTCAGCTACATGGCAGCCTTCTTTAAAACAACAAGACAAGAGTCTGGGAAGAGTTCCAAAACAGGTAAACGGTAACCATAAAAACCTCTCGTCCATGTGTGATCTGAAGATTCATTTGCTCATAGATTTCTTTTTCACCTTTTCAATATCAAACCAACAGGAGCAGTAAAGTAGCTGCTGCCTTTAGATGTTGCTGAAATGTTCTAACTGCTGGTAGAGTGCACTTTAATAATGTCCCGGTAAAATGGCAGGTACACAATTAGTTCTAGTGATAGAGAAGGTGTTTGGAAAGCTTTGTGAGTGCAGAAAAACAACAGGAGACAATATGGAAAATGATGGGCATTGACCATAATATTCTGAAAGTATGATAATTCCCTGCAATAGCATGATGTTCTGGATCAAAAGCATTTTGTAGCTAAAGATCCAGATATTAAGCTATAGGTAGTTGGTGGAGAGCGAAGACGGAGCTAAACAGGAGAGTGAATAATGGATTTCCATTCATCAGGTGGCCGGAGATGACTCAAAATGAATGATGATGTTTTACTGCTGGATGTATAAATAAGCAACTATTTATTTTTTAACAAGTTAGCCAATTCAGCAAAAAAGAGATGATTATGTCAAAGTCGTGTTTATAACTGGTTTACACTGCCCCAAGTGGCCTGGAAAAAATGGTATTGCAGGTTTAAAGTCTAGGAATTTGAAATATGGTTTGATTTATTTCTACTTTAGGTGCCTATACATTTTTAAATAAAATACATTTACTTTTTCCTGTGCTCTACAGTAATGTTGGAGGGTAAATGGAATTATAACTGTTGAGGATTTTGCATAACACTTCAAGACAGTTACCAGCCAAAATCCTCATCTACCAGTTATTCATTGACCTTACAGATAAATGTGTTACGTAAATGATCAGGTCTGACTTCCCCTAATCTCACTTCATTTTCTTCTGAATTGACTCATGGAAGAAGAAGAAAATGTAGATACACAGCGGAAGCAGAACAGGTATAGGCCAGCTTAAAACATGTGATGCTGGTGATTTGACTTGTTTTGATCATTTTTTCTAGCCTTGATCAAGTAAACAAAAGTACGAATGCAAAACATGATCAGAAGGAAAGATCTTCGGCAGGTTCCAGTTTATTATGGATGGAAAATCAATGCTCATACCTTCAAAATGATTGTACACATGATGGTGGAAAATAAGATAGAAAATGCCATTATAATAATCATATTTCCACAAGTGACAGCACATTTGTCTTTATTTATAAACAGACAGAAACACGCACTCGTTTTCACAAATAATTCAGTCTGACGTGTGAGGCAGATCCATTTACTTCTTCATAAAGCACCAAGCCGTTGGTTGTTGAGCTGCAGTAATTATGTATGAGAGGTTCTGGATCGATAATGGATGCGATGCGTTCTGCAACACTGTCCTGATTGATTCTCACGAAGACCCCCGCTTCAGAATGGATGAGACGGGAGAATTATGTCCACTAATCTGTTTCAGTATGTTTAAAGGTCACAGCATTAGGTATGCTATGATCTCCATACATTACATTACATTTTTTTTATTTGAAAATATAATTTTGCATCAACATTGGGTTTAGAAACTGCAGCCAATAGTGGTGGTTGCTCTTAAATCCTCTGTCTGTTATATGAATATGAAACATACAGATGAAGGAAAGATGAAGGAGGGATAGAAATATCTGTTGTTTGTGTGCGTAGGATTTTTACCATCCTTTGGTGTTTTGTTTAGTGTGTAATTGTACAGCTCTTTGTCCGGCAGATTTGACAGCTGTGGATGAAATAGTGCGGCGCCACGTCCCTGAGGCAGTCTTTTTGGAGAGCATCGGTCAGGAGATCACCTACATACTGCCTTATGGTGGAGCTAGAGATGGGACCTTTGCTCTATTGTTCCAAGGGCTTGACCTGGCCATGGCTGACCTTGGCCTGACCAGCTACGGCATCTCTGACACCACGCTGGAGGAGGTACACTAAGCGTGGGATTGACGGATTCAGATAAAAAAAGCATGCACACATATAGAGCGGCTGCCTACATACACAAAGGAACATGAAAGTTCACATACTGACAACATTGCCCTTGTTTTTCTTTTCCGTCTTTTTTTTTTTGTCATTGCAATTTACTCTTTATACCATACTTGCTGTTTTAGCTGCTTCTCCTCCTTCCCCACCAAAATGTTGATGGGCAGTTTTCAAATGCCGTCGTGCAGTAGAACAAGCAACTAGAGAACGAGCATAAGTAAATGTTAGTACGTTGTGCTGATAATACCTCTCCTTCACTCTGTACTTGAAACTGAAAAATACTGTGGGGTATTAATAGTTTTACTATCAATGTTTAATGGTTTTACTTCAGAAAGACATTTTTGAGCAGCCACTTTTAACATTCCGAATAATAGAAAGGGTAAAGAGTAAACAAGACAATGGCCCCCAAATCACTAAATCTGCACCTGAAAAGCACACCCAGGTCTGGGTTACTGGCAGTCAGAAACGTCGGTGAAATACACTTAACGGGGGCGATTTACAAGTAGGCCTATAAGTCACTTGCTCTGACATGACCACAGTGGTTATAAAGTAGAGCATGGATTCAATTAGCAGAGGTATTTTGCTGGTGGTGATGTTATTAGTGTTATAAGTAGTTACACCTTACTCACGTTCAGACACAGCGGTGAAATACACTCTGGTTTGATTCTGCTTGTGTTAAATGGTAAATGGACCTTTGTAGTCTACCGACCACTCAAAGCGCTTTCACGCTACATGTGATTTAAGTTTTACTTGCAGTCGCTACACATACAGTACACGGTCTTATTTTTTCATGTGACTCACGCAGTATTTTGCCATCCAGACTTATCTTGGATCACAAAGCTGATTGACAGTTGGTTAATACTCTTCGTGTAACTCAGACATGAATCAGACACTCGTGGCCTGCAGGCAATCTAAATAATTCCTTTATGCAGTTCTAAAATTCAGACACGACAAGGTTATTTCATCCATCCATGTTTTCTTTGAAGTCCAACTACACTTCTCTTGAAATACGCAGTGATTTTCTATTTAAGGAACTAATACACAAGGGCTGATAAATGATAAATGTTTCATGGAAGTCGGTCATATAATACAACTGTTCCTGGGTATTGTTATAAATCATCTTTTAAAGGACTGTTTGACTGTTTTATGATGTCAGTAGTTAGATTTTATGTTTTTGACTGATGTCCACATAAAATCACATGCAGTACAAATTATGTCGGCTTTGCCAGGGGTGCTCAGAGACTTTTTAGAGGGCAGATGTTGAAACACGCACAGCAGAGTAAAATATCGAAAAGGTCACTTGGAAATATTTCTCAAATATGGAGATTTATTTATTTTTGACATATGGCCTGAATTAATAAATGATATCAAGGAGGGCACTTCTCTTAGAGAGGACAATTGGCAGGTGTTCAAGCAAAGGTTGGGGGTCTCCGTGGATGCTCAACCCTGATCTTATTCTAAGCAGAAACGTGACGGTGTAACGGGCATCTGCATCAGATCTTTGTTCACTTGTTTAATACATTATGAGTTTGCTTTTAAGTGTAACAAAAACAACAACTATAAAACAGCTTAGTTAAGCTCATCTACTGCTGTATCATCAGTTTCCCTGCTTGTGTGCGTGCTTATAAGGTGACAGAAAACATACTGTGGCTCCCCTGAGAAAGTATATGAATACGTCGTTTCTTCATTTCACAGATATTTCTTAAAGTGGCAGAAGATACTGGAGTGGATGCAGAAATACCAAGTAAGGTGGCAATATGTTTGCATGCTATCACGTTAGGGGGATAAACAGTATAATGGATAACTTCTCAACATACACTGGTAACGTGTTGGTAATGTTCATAACTGTTTAAAACATTGTATTTTATGTCTCTCGTGAGAAAATAAGTTAATGCCGCTGTTACACAACCACCACAGCTTAATGTGAGAGACTATGATGCATCACGTCTGCCAGCTAATTCCACCTGAAGCCTTTAACATATTCCTGATGATTCTCCAGCAGCATTGCCTCCACCAACTAACCTTAGCCCCAGAGAGGCCATTTCATTTGCATGCACACTGCCGTTACATCAGCCACATTGAAAATAGCATTTAATATGCTAAAAGTCTCAGAAATGTATACAAGAAATGCTGCACATGAACAAATTGCATTCACAGTGGAACTTATCATACAGTGAAGGTAGACAACAAGGTGACTGGCAGACTTTGTGGCATTGTTTGCAGCTGTTTGCTATCTATTTCAAAGAGGAAAGTCATATTCTTTAATGCTTTTCTTACCCCTGTACACTCACATTGCATTCATACTCATACAGAATTATATTGTGTTTACCAACCAGTTCTTATTTCTCATCGATCAATCTCAGTGGATAAATATTCCATCCATCAGCAAGCAACTTCCCTTTTCAGTTTAATCTAAAAACACATTTCCTCACGTTCCTAAAACACATGGTGTTTTTTTTGTTTTTTTTTGCTTTTACATGGAACAATACGGCATCTTGCAGGGCAGGTAGCTATTCTTATTGTTATTTATAACCCTAAATTGGGTCAGGCCAAAACAACATATCTTATTTGTATTCCCACAGCAACAAAGGAGCCGTCGGTGAGAGACTGCAAAAGAGGCTCCCGCAACTCCAAGCGGAACAGCATCGCCAGCGTCCACATGAAAACAGAGCAAGCCTCTGGAATGAGTGGCAAGTCTCTCCAAAGTTATCTTGCAGTTATTTTTTTTTAATGACGGAAGCTCAATTAAACATTTGTGAATTTACTCAAAGCAGAAAGTTGAGTAATACTAATATTTATGGGTGCTATTTCAAATAGAAACTTAAAACTGTAATTCCTGCTTGAGGCTTGTTTCTTTCTGTTTGTCATGCAGAATTAAAGGAAAGGTTCACAAGTAAAGTGGAAGGTAGGAACTGTACTTTGTCCTTTCTACAGACAATCATAGTTTTATTATGCTAGCAAATGTCTGTTTTCCATATGCCTTTCATTCTTCAGTTAATAACTTAATTTACTTTGGCTTCAATTTGACTGTTACACCTCAGTGGCCATTTTGAAAAGAAGGGGAATAAACAAGGGCTCTGTCTCCAGAATTTTCTAACATAATTTCTTTCCAACCCATGCAACATTATCTAACCCGTCCCTTCATTTTTTCAATTTTGCCCTAATGACAGAAATTCACTTTCATACTACAATGTCATGAAAACGGTTTTCAATCAGAGGATGCTTTATTCTCTTAATGACTACTGTCGCAAGATAGTTCTTTTTTTTTTACAGCAAAGATATTCTTGGAGAATGTGAGACATAAAATCAAGGTGTCTGAAGAGCCCTTGTTTATCACCTTTTCCCTCCTTACTAATGCCCAAATACCATTTCCAAAATCATGATCTATTCAAGAAAAATTGCTGCTACACTGTGGAATGAGCTAGTGCAGCTGGCAGGTTTAATACTTAAGTTGTATTTCATCAGCCCATTAGTGTGCTTTACAGGCATTTTACATATGTATTAATGATGAATAACATAGTGGGTTAATGTCCACTGCAGACTTAAAGAAGAACGCCAGTGTCAGTGGGAAGGGATCCACGGTCATCACCGGATGGGAGCTGATCAGGAGGCAGTTCCTGGCGCTTTTTATCAAGCGCTTCCACCACGCCCGAAGGAGCCGCAAGGGACTCATTGCCCAGGTAATGGCCTCAGTCTGTCATATTGATGAATTGAAGGGTTATACAAGGAGGGTTGCATGGGGGAGGATCAAGGTAGGACCCGTATGAATTACATGTTGCCTTTTCGAAATCAGTTAATGACAAATATGATAGAGTAAGCTCATTTAAGATCTTCAGGGGAAAGCCATGCCATCCATCTTGATTTACTCAATAGTTGTGGAATTTAAGTTTTGTGAGAAGCAATTCGACACAGAGGTGTAGTATATAGAAAAGGAAAAAGTTTGAAAAATGTGAAGAGCAGCGCCAAGAATGATGTAATATCATCAGTGAACTGCACATACAATCATCATCATCACTCCCAAAGGAATACTTGAGGGACCACAGAGGCTGAAGACGGCATGAGCAACCTGTTTCTTACCGTTGTGGGGGAGATTCTTCTCTTTGGTTTCCGTAAATCACTTTCGGTGAGCGGGAAAAGTGTCGATAGCTGGGGACCAGGATAGTTTAATCCCAAGCGTGGTCAATTCATGAGGTCCCACCAGAGTCATGCCTGGTGTGGGCAGGAAACTGTTAATACATTGTACATTGAGTCGATGAAAGGTGTTTTTGCTGGCTTCAGTTAGAGTACCTCCAGCTTCACCTGATCGCCGTGATTGCCACCAGAAAGGCAAAGTGACACACATGATTTGTTGTTCCTTCATTTCACTGTGTGCTAATCATGTACTTTCGTTAGCTATGTATTAAATGTGATCGCTTAACAATTACAGCGACGACAGACTGCTATTAGCCTATTAAGTGCACGTCTATATCACTTTGCTCCTCGTAAACATGATTTCAAAAGTCAGAACCAATAAACGGGCATAATTTAAACAAGTCAAAACCAATTTTGCTAAGTAGCAATTTCCAAGGGACTCGAGAGATTCTTGTCCCCCAAGTTCTAAAAAGTGTGTTGCGACTTAAATTGTATTGACATGTCGCCCATCTAGATTCATAGTTTGTTTGTGAATATCTTGTAATGCCGTCAGTTATGACAGCTGCCATGATGCTGAAATTATTATAACTGAAAAAGCTCACTCCTTTGTGCTGCTGCTGTTGTGTGTGTGTGTGTGTGTGTGTGTGTGTGTGTGTGTGTGTGTGTGTGTGTGTGTGTGTGTGTGTGTGTGTGTGTGAGAGAGAG